GTCGCAGCATACCAGAATTGGACCTAACAACGGTTCCTGGTAATCGTGCCAGGCCTTGCTCAAGTTGTACAAATCTTCAACAGTCATTTTGTTGTCGCATGAAAACACAACGTTTTTGTTCTTCGTCAGCTCATTCTTTAAATCATCGACTTCATCGTCTGAGCGACATACAATTACCGTACTCTTGGTACCGTCAATTTCTTTCAAATACTCCAAAACTTTGCCTTTCTTGTTCTCCTTTTTGACAAAGTCGACTGAAGTGCTAGCCTTAGAGTACAAGACGCATTCCTGAAAAGCACCGATACATATAACTGAATTCGGTGATTTCTTTGCGAGTGGTTCGAGAAAGTCACACCAGACACGGGATAGGACCACGAATTGCACCTTCATCTCTTTATTGGCCCGATTTTTCAACATCTCCTTGATTTTGACGAGGAAAAATTTGACTTCGTTGGAATACACTTGGGACAACCTTTCACAATCTTCGAGGACAAAAGTAGAGAGCCGTCTTAGATCAATACCGAAATCAGTCAATTGCAATAACCTGACCAGAACAGACGGAGTGCAAATGAACAAATCACAACCGTTCAGCAAGGACGTGGTCATATGAAGCTCGTCCATCCCAGGATAGCAAGCAACGACTTTTTCTTCCAAGGCTAACATCATTTTGGCTAGCTTTTCGACCTCGGAAACAGACTGTGCGGTAGCGCAAACTATGATGCAAGTAGGGCCAACGCTATCCACGAATTCCGACCTAAAATCAGAGATGAGTCTGCACACTGCGGGCAGATAACCTAGCGTCTTACCGCTGTTTTTGGGGCTGATCATAAAGAAACTGTAGCCCCTCAAAATCACTGGCCAAGAGACCATTTGCAACATCATGGGGCGTTCGACGCCATAATTCTTTAACACCACATGAATATGGTCATTAAAGTGTATGTCCCTAATATTAGAACAAGGTTCGATTCGCTTATCATTTTTGCAATGGACCATCAAAACTGGGGACACTAGTTTATCGACGAAAACAGACATGTCTGCATCTACGTTTTTGAAGGGATTTACATTGTTTTTAATTGCGTTGGGAATAACTTTTACTGTCTCTTTGGGTTTAACATCAGTTTTCAGACATTTAGGTCGATATTCTACACTAATTTTCTCAACTAAATCAGTCAATGTATCATCGTCAGAATCTAGAAACTCAGCTTTGTTCCGTTTAGTTTGGCTAGCGTTTATATCGCTGGAAGAATCTTTATAAGAATCAGATGAAAAAGAAACGTCGCTTTTTGATTTATTTTTAAGTAGTTCTAACTTTTTTCGCATGGCAGAAAACTTTTGCAACCCTTCATGTCTACGTTTTGAATCTGTGGAACAGTTTGATTCGTTGAGACTTTTATCGGTGCTGTCAAAACTATCGTTTTTGTTTACTTCGGTATCTTTTGGTGCGTTTTGTTTGTGCATTTCTTTTAAATCATCTTTATTGGTAATTTCTAATTCGATATGAGAATCAACGTCATCAAAAAATTCCACGTCATTCGCGACTTCTTTTCTATCTTCGGTATTGCTCACCAGTTTTTGATCTTGTTCTTCTTGCTCTTCTTTTGTTTTTTCTTTTAGCGTCCTAGTGTTTGGACTCATCCCCGGAGGACCGTAGGATTTGAAAAAGATGATTTCATTCTTCTTATTTTTTAACACTCTCTTGTGTCCTGAAATAAAGTAAATTATAAGTTTCACTCTAGTCTCAATCAAAATTACTTTTTCGGCCGCGAGTGATTCGCTTCAGTGTACCACCATAGTGTTTTTCGCTAAAACGTACTTCGCTAAATCAACCTTCGCCGCTACGTACGGGACCCCCACGACGCTGGTTTTGAGTGGTCGCCTGATTGCAGTGGTGGAAAGGCGCATGGAAACATTTAAAAAACAAGACGCAATTGAGCAACAGTAACACATACACATTTTGAATGGTCCATTTTTGCTATATTGAGAAAATGGAAATTAATAATGGTTTAACTTGTTTTTGTCAACTGTACAAAGAGAATGCAGCTGTCACTTAACACAACTTGCCGCCTTACAAAATTGTATTGTTGCCTTTTAATTAATCATCATAAAATATAAATCAATAATGAACTTACTGCGTAAGAAATAGCCTTTTCCAGTGTTTGTTCGTTTGTCCACCATTACAGGTTTCTCAGGTGCGTCTCCTACATTTGGCGTTGCGTTCTTGTCTCCTGTGTTGCTAGAGAGATCCTCAGAATTGTTTCGGTGGTCATCGATTTTTATCTTGTCTTCTGCGTTGCTAAAGGAACCATCCTCAGAATTGTTTCGGTGGTCATCGATTTTCACAGCATTCTCTTCCAAATACTTTTTAGTGGCCAACAACACTTGCATGGGATCATTGGCCGATTTCAGGCAGGGTTTCCTCGATAATTCCAGTTTCTTTTGTAAAAACTTTGGCAGTTTTGTTGGCTCAGGGGTTGGCTCCAGGGTTGGCTCATCCACAACTGACTTGCTGACATGGCTAGCTCTCCCGACCGATACTTCATCGATATCTTTACATTTATCAAAGTCCTTCGACTTCATTTTCATATAGTGATCTATTTTGACACCGGATAAATGAAACTCGTTATGCCTCTCCAAATTCCTTGACGTTAACATAGACTCCAAATTTTGTGCAGCCTGAAAGACTGTTGTATGCTTTTTCACTGATTCTTCACGCTTCTTACTTGGTTTTAAAGCGATGTGCTTCTCAATTTCTTTTACGACTTCTTGTGTTCGTAAATGGTCAAGCTTCGTATTGAGATTGCCAAGGCTCAGTTCTTGGTGGAAAAGAACTATATTCTCGATAGCAAGTCCTGATTTAGTTAGAACTTTTGAAAGATCGAATAGCTGTTTATCTTTCTTTATTATGGTGATTTCACCGTACTTGTGAATGTTGTCGTCGAAAATTGAATTTCTGAAACAACATTAAGTTTTATCAAAATCATGACAGTTATCTTGTGAAAATATAGGATGAAATGCATTTTTTTTGTGGCAATGGTGTTTTGGATATTTTAAATATCTACAATGCAAAAAAGAAAGTTGGTTTTGAATTTGATGTATTTGTCTCTGTCCCAAGTAGCAGAATAACTGTTAAATGAACTGGAAGATTGAAAAATATATGTTTTCTCAAACAAAAAGTTTATTGGTTTGTAATTTCTGTTAGGCCCAGAACACACGGTGAAACGCAATTGCAACGAAACTGCAACTTCTAGTTACTTTTCAGTTGCATCTAAGTTTCTGTCATAGATTCTGTTGAGAGAACACACAAGACGCGACCATTTCAAACCGGTTTCAAACTAATCGCGTCATGTGTGGTCTTTCAACGGAATCTATGGCAGAAACTTAGATGCAACTCAAAAGTAACTAGAAGTTGCAGTTTCGTTGCAATTGCGTTTCACCGTGTGTTCTGGGCCTTAAGGCATTTATTTATCTACCCATGTTGATGTGAAGTTTAAAGTGAGCCACTAGTTTAGTAAAAAAAAAAGGATATTGAAATGTTTCAATGTAGTTTTGCTGAAAACTTAAAGTGAATAAATTTTCATAACCTAGTTTCATGCAAAATTTTGCAAATTCGCTCTCAGAAACATATTTTATGTAAATTAAATATCTTTTTTTATATTCAATTAACAATATTTAAATAAGCTTATTTGTCTTTTTACACTACAAATTCAATACATCACAAATTTCTCCTAAAATAAAATAAAATTTTTCACACCATGTGAAAAATTGGTGGTTTTTAATAAAAAGAGAAATTAAATAATCGGTAGCTGTAGTGAGATGGTAGTTACCTTTTTTTGGGAAATATTATCTTTAGGCATAGTTCTTGCAACGGACGAAGGCGAGTGAGCTTTACTTGTGTGTGTATGTTTATTTAAATGTACATAATGCAGTGTAATCAAAACTTTTGAAGAATGAACAGTAGAGAGCCACCACACATGTAAAGCTCTCTCGCCTGTGATTTGGAACAACTTTAATTATTGTAAAAGAACAGTGATGTTGGACAAACTTTAATCATTAGATTAGAATACTGTCTCTATTCGCGCAGCTACATCAATGGATGAATTTTATGGATACGCAAAGAACACAAAATCACAAAAAGTACTAAAAAAATATTTAATTTTGGTAGCTGTACAAGCTCCTAATAATCAATAGACCATTATTTCAATCAATCCGGCATTATTGAAAAAGTATTATCAATGTTTTCAACCTACCTGCGATCTATGTGTGTCGGGCAGAACCATACTTCGTTAGCGTCAGCAAACGTTTCCTGCATCAATAAAGTTACAGCCGGCACCCAATCTCGACATCGCTGATATACGGTGCTTTCTTTACCGCTCTCCAAGTCTATACTATTTTCAAAGGGTAGAATACCGTATATTCCTAGTTGTTCGTAGTTGTATTCTTTATTTTCTGAGACTACTTCAACCCATATCAAATGGGGGCTCCGATAGTGGAGGACCTCCACTAAGTAGCGGTCAGGCCCCATGATTATAGTTCCTAGTGCCTACTGCCCGGCCAATTTAGCTGCATCGATCGGCTGAAGACTTCACACAACTATAGTTTTTTGAAATTTCAGCATCTCTCGTGGTGGACTCGATTGAAAATTCAAAGAGTGAAAGAGAAGAATAATGAGTGAATGGACAGGAAATGAGACAAGCGGTCGTCGTTCATTCGTTCCTCGCATATTTTGTCTATGACCATTCATTCCATAATGTTGCCAGTAATGGCAACACACTTTACCCTTAACCCTTAACTTTATCCAATCTCAAACTGACTGAACACGTACTTAATACGATTTATTTTAACAATCGAATAATAACAATCAGGGGCATTGCCTGTAATATACGAGCCATTATTTTAATTTCCTTGTGTATTTTTTGCTTTTGGTCCTGGATAAAATTGTGTTGTCTGCATGATAGCTAATATAAAAAAAAGAAAAACAATGACATTGTCAAAAAATTGACAGTTCATGTATGACAAAACGGCAATGATTTCGTGGCGAAAATAGTTTTCGGCGTTATAAATTAATTATTTGTTGTTGTGCTTATGTTTTTGTTATTGCCGAGTCAGTAAACTATCCAGGTAACTTTTTGTTCATATTAAAGCCGTCTGAACAAACGATACGGCTTACTACGCACAGTGTATAGATCTGTTATAATTTTACCCATTAACTTCTAATAAAACGCATATAGGCTTTAATTTACGACTCAATACACAGCCTTAGTACATGCTTTACATATCTGATAAGAAATATTGATCTACAAGACGATTACAAAAGGATTTACAGCTTAAATTTCAGTTTACTAACATACAACTGCATAGTATGTGAAGTGTTGGATCAATGCAAAGAGTATGCAAATCACAACACTTTGAACTCCGACCCCACTAATTTCTATAACTGCAGTCATGTAATGGCCTTTCTTGCCTACTGAGCTGAATTTAAGAGTGAAAATTGTAGGTTTTCTAGCTATAGAACATGAATAAAACTATGCTTATTATCTTCTCATAATGTAAGTGTGAACAGGAAACAAGTGTATTATTTGGTAGTCTGTAACACCAAGTTTGATTATAGTTTTTATTGGGACCAACTTCATATCAGTTGTTTCTACAAATTTTTACATATTTTAGAAAATATAATTTACTTTTTTTACTCTGATAAAATATACAGATATAAATAACAGTGTGAATCATATTTGATTCACAGGATAAGTGGCAATCTTGTTTGTTTATTATATTGTGATTAGAAATAAGATTATTTTATTGTATTGAAACTTGTTATCAATGAAGTGAATTAAAACACATGTAAAGCCTAAAAGTGTACATCAATAGCTCAATCAGGCATTGAATTACATAAAATTCAAGGCTTAAATAAGATTTTTGTGTTGCAATATGGCCAATGTTGGGAATTTGGACCAAATCTTCATTGCTCTGCTAGAGAGGGTTTTGCTCCTGCAGAGGAGACTAAGGCCCAGAACAGACGGTGAAACGCAACTGCAACGAAACTGCAACTTTCTGATCATTCTTATGAATGAAACTAAAACTGAAAGTTTCAAACTGGTCGCGTCATGTGTGGTCTAAATCAAATCAAATCAAAATCAAAAAAATATTTATTCAGTTTAGACCACAGGTGGCACTTATATGAACGTCAATAGAAAATAATAAAAAAAGAAAAGGTAGCCCTTATGGGGCACTTTACATGTCTCCTTATCTTTTGGGCCCTACCAGCGCTTCGAGACAAACATATGGCAAGTGCTGAGAAGAAACGCCAGAACAAACTCAGTCACCACTTATTGCCAGGAATTATCTAACGGTCTCTCAACGGACGCTATGGCAGAAACTTAGATGCAACTCAAAAGTAACTGGTTGCAGTTGCAGTTTTGTTCCAGTTGCGTTTCACCATCTCTTTTGGATTTTTGATAGCAGNGAATCATTCACTGTGTTTAAATGAACAAATTAATGTGTAAAACATTTTTTCATTATAGTTTACTGAGCATTAGTGACTTTTTACAAACGTCTTCAGAAATTCGATACTTATGTCGCCATCTAGTGAGATTGATTTGGAATGATTCAAGATTTATAGGCATCGGGTTCCCGTGATTAAGGGTTGTACCCTAGCTAACCAGCGCCACCATATTTTTTCTTGATTACTTTTGTTATAGACCGAAATTAAAAAAGTGTTTTGAAAAATGTTTAATATGTATCGAAGCTATTTTTTAAAATAATTTGTTTGAATTCATTAGATATTTGCAGCAAGTTACAGATTTAATTACTGCTAAAAGTTACCATTTTAGCTAATTTTGAATTTCGAACTTGCAGAATATAATAAATACACGGTTTTAAAAGTAGCTTAGATATGGCTTTAACTATTTACAAACCACTTTTTTATTTCGGTTTGTAACAAGAGAAATCACGAAAGATTATCTGTGGCGCATGTTTTAGAGGGGTAAGTAAGCTCCTTAAATATTTTTGTTACTATTACTTAAAAAAATAGACTAAAAATGTACTCTTCGTGCTTTTTTCAAAGCAAAATCTTTTACACAATCGTCGATATCAAATTGTATCTCATTTTCAATTGCCAGTATAGCTAGATTAGATTTGTTAGTCTCAACGTAGACATAGTCGACCTTTTTTTTTCTTGTTCATGCAATGTTTTTTTTCTTATCCGCCGCCCCCTTTCATATGCCGCCCGGGGCCATGGCTCCCCCCTGCCCCCCCCAAGCTACGCCACTGGGCGTGAGCGAGACAAAGATAACAATTGTCCGTTACTTTGATTGTGTGAGCTCATGCCTCAGTCGCCGTTTGAACACGCTATTACTGTCACGTTTGGATCGAGCCCTGTGTTTCATTTTGCTGACCTGCCCTTCGACGTTAATCAACCCCGCGTCCTGTCTTCTACAGTAGGTATACCATGATTGATACTTTTGGAGTCGGTGCAGGCAAATTTTACATGTTTCATAATCTTGGCACCGACTCCAGAAGTATCAATCATGGTATACCTACATAAATATTAATAATTCGTCCTAATAAATAGGTAGGTAATTAGTAATTATTTTTCTACTTTTTAGTGTAGGTTTTTTGGAGTCGGTTTTATTTTTTTTTATAAAATTTTACTTATTATGATGTACAATGTAGAATTTTTTTCAAATCCATTATTTTGAGAATATTTATCTTTATGGTGTACGTATTGTATTATTTTCAAAACAATGGATTTGGAAAAATTCTACATTGCACATGGAAATGCAAATAAACAAAAACTTTTGAATTTAATAATTTTACTTTATTTATGAACACACATAATATTACACACCAAAAGCGTCTTTTCGCAAAGTTTTCAACAACACTAAAAAAGCATTTGCACATTGAGAAAACTCAGATCACTTGTGAACATAACTGAAAGTTTCTTCGCGATTCACGAAGGAACGAACAAAACTCCGATGAACCAGAACAGCAGCAGGTACGAAGGAATGAACTTGAATTTGACTCGACTCTTCAATACTTTAATAGGGCCACAGAACACTTAAACGTAATGGCCTCAGTTCGTATCCCTCGAGCATGCACTATTGTAACCAAATTGCAACTCAAAGATCAGATATATGTGAATTTTTCGCTTCATGTTTTTCCGATGTATATGAAAATAACGATAAGCTCGATACTTTGCGACCAACTATCCCTGACAATCCTGATTCACATTGCTTAAATAGTATATCTTTTTCGAAAGATGCCGTTGAAAGGGTTTTAAAAAGACTTGACCCACATAAGGGAGCAGGGTCAGATGGTATACCCCCTGTATTTGTTACTCATTGTAGTGAATATTTAGCTGAACCTCTAAGCATAATTTTTAACTTTTCTGTTTCAACAGGCCAGTTCCCATCTGCATGGAAGGAGGCGCTAGTTATTCCTATACACAAATCGGGTGACAAGTCAGCAGTAAAAAACTATCGTCCTGTTTCTATTTTGCCTGTATTTGGAAAGGTTTTTGAGGTTTTGATTCATCCCATTTTATATTGGCACGTAAAAAACGCTCTCATACCTGAGCAGCATGGATTCATGAAAGCCAGATCAACCTCAACAAATTTAGTCTGTTTCATGTCTGAGTTGGTTGAATCAGTGGATCGTGGCACTCCTGTTGACGTTATATACACGGATTTCAGCAAGGCGTTCGACAAGGTGGACCATCAAATCCTTGTTAACAAGCTTTATCACTTTGGTATCACAGGAAACTTGCTGAACTGGTGTGCATCTTACCTCGTCGGCAGGTTGTCGAGAGTTGTGATCGACGGATTCGCATCTGATAGGTTTTTGGCATCATCAGGAGTGCCCCAGGGTTCCCACTTAGGTCCCTTATTTTTTAACATTTTCATCAATGACGTTCACTCATGCTTTCATAACTCACAAATACATTTATATNAGCTTTTTTCCAAATATTTGAATCCGCTAGATGACTTAACATATCGTTTACTTAAGAAGAGATGTACACAACTCACACGTATGAATTATAAAAAATACATTGCATCGATCGAGTCCTCTTTAACTGCAAACCCTAAACTGTTTTGGTCTTTTTTAAAACAAAAACGTAATGGCCTCAGTTCGTATCCCTCGAGCATGCACTATGGTAACCAAATTGCAACTCAAAGATCTGATATATGTGAATTTTTCGCTTCGTGTTTTTCCGATGTATATGAAAATAGCGATAAGCTCGATACTTTGCGACCAACTATCCCTGACAATCCTGATTCACATTGCTTAAATAGCATATCTTTTTCGAAAGATGCCGTTGAAAGGGTTTTAAAAAGACTTGACCCACATAAGGGAGCAGGGTCAGATGGTATACCCCCTATATTTGTTACTCATTGTAGTGAATACTTAGCTGAACCTCTAAGCATAATTTTTAACTTTTCTGTTTCTACAGGCCAGTTCCCATCTGCATGGAAGGAGGCGCTAGTTATTCCTATACACAAATCGGGTGACAAGTCAGCAGTAAAAAACTATCGTCCTGTTTCTATTTTGCCTGTATTTGGAAAGGTTTTTGAGGTTTTGATTCATCCCATTTTATATTGGCACGTAAAAAACACTCTCATACCTGAGCAACATGGCTTCATGAAAGCCAGATCAACCTCAACAAATTTAGTCTGTTTCATGTCTGACTTGGTTGAATCGGTGGATCGTGGCACTCCTGTTGACGTTATATACACGGACTTCAGCAAGGCGTTTGACAAGGTGGACCATCAAATCCTTGTTGACAAGCTTTATCACTTTGGTATCACAGGAAACTTGCTGAACTGGTGTGCATCTTACCTCGTCGGCAGGTTGTCGAGAGTTGTGATCGACGGATTCGCATCTGATAGGTTTTTGGCATCATCAGGAGTGCCCCAGGGTTCCCACTTAGGTCCCTTATTTTTTAACATTTTCATCAATGACGTTCACTCATGCTTTCATAACTCACAAATACATTTATATGCTGATGATCTCAAAATTACAGTTCGCTTGGAGAACGTTAATGACTGGCGCCTCCTCCAGGATGACCTGAATCGCTTTGCGCGGTGGTGTAATATAAATAAAATAAAATTAAATGCTGATAAATGCAACTTTGTACATTTTTCGCGTAATAAGAATCAATATTTTAATTCATATAATATAGACAACCAAGTGATACGAGAAGTTGATGTCATTCGAGACCTTGGAGTCTACATTGATAATAAACTGCGTTTTCACGTGCATATCGATAAAATAGTCACAAGAGGCTTTAGGTTGCTGGGTTTCATACTTAGAAATTGTCGGGATTTCAGAAAGGCATCGAGCAAAATTGCTGTTTTCAACTCACTGGTTCGGTCGGGATTAGAGTATGGTAGTGTCGTTTGGACTCCTTTTTATGAAATACATAAACGCAGAGTTGAATCAATACAAAAGAGATTTCTTTGGCATTTGTCATATCAACATAAATTAGCTAAACAGCTCCCAAGCTACAATACACGCCTAAATTATTTTAAACTGTATAGCTTGGAAGACCGCAGGAAAATATTGGATAGTCTATTCCTATACAAAATAATAAATGGTTACATAGATTGTCCTGATCTCATTGGACAGATTAAATTCAATGTTCCCTTCAAACTAGCTCGGTTGTCCAGGTATCTGCCGTTTAAAGCAAATGGTTTTAGGACAAATCTGGGTCATTTCTCCTCTATCAACAGGATTCAGTCACAATTTAGCAACCTGTCACGTTCGTCCGGGGCCAGCGTTGATATGTCATCTTCGCTACGTAAGTTCAAAAAACAAATTTCTGAATTGTATACTCCGACGGTTAGTAAATAATTTATTGTTTTGCATTCTGTCACTTTGGCAACGTTACTGTTTTCCAACATTCTGTGCATGTCGTGGCAACCTTTAATTAAGGCAACACCTTAGCTTAATTTATTTATAAGGATACTGTGAATGTATGGTGTATGTTTTGTTGGTTGTCCTTAAATAAATAAATAAAATAAATAAAATAAAAATAAATAAAATCTCTTAATGCTCACTTGTATGTATAGTTTTCATTGTTTTTATCATCATCTTCATCTCACCTGATGGAAAGTGATGATGAAATGGTAGGTATTAAGTTTAATAACTAACTCTTAGGATTTACATAAAGGAGTATTATAACTTAAGTTTCTGAGATCAATTAAAATACTTCTTTTTCATTAAAAATTCCATGATGTAACGTTACATATTTAAATGTCTATAGAAATAAAAAAAAGCTTGACTGTTTTTGAGGCCGCCACCAACCATACATTGTGGAAATCATTGGGGGAGGCCTATGTTCAGCAGTGGACGTCCTATGGCTGAAATGATGATGATGACTATTTTTATAACCCTATCACTTGTTGCAAAACTACCCATTCATAAATTCAAAGCACATATTAAAAGTACCTTAATGAAAAAGGGCTACTATAAAGTCGATGATTATTTAAAAGATAAAAATGTTTGGGATGCGTAACTGCCTAGCTCGCATAAATATTTATTACTATGTATTTTGAAACCTGTAAACCTTTGAAAAAGAGGCTGACAATAGTGTCTGAGTTTCTTGCGCTGCTTCTTCTCAGCACTGGCCCATTTATTGTCCTGAAGCAGTGGTAGGGTTAATACTGGGACGTGTAAAAGTGCTTTTTTAAAGCCTACTTACAGAAATAAATGAGTATTATTGTTACAGTGCAAAATGGGCGTAGCAGTGAGCAAGTACAGTGAGCTGACAGCCAACGAATTGCTGGCTCGGTTCTGCTCGTCCGAAGTGATATGTGCTAACGACCCATTCTGGAACCAGATGCTGGCCTTCAATATCAACCCTCCGGCTAATGCGTGAGTATATGTACAATAGAAATATATTTAACTAGCGGCCGCCCGCGACTTGTAAGCGTGTATCCCGTTTTTCCCCTTAGGGGTGGAGTTTCGTAAAATCCTTTCTTAGCGGATGCCTACGTCATAACATCTACCTGCATGCCAAATTTCAGCCCGATCCGTTCAGTGGGGTGGTCTGTGCGTTGATAGATCACTATGTCAGTCAGTCACCTTTGAGTTATATTATATTTAGATCAGTGTAATGTGTGCTCTTCCATACATGTCCGACGTCCGTCCATAGTGACCAAACTATCGGCCGACAAAAAGTCTGTAGTCTAACATACATTATAAGCTATAATTTAAAATTTTAAGGATCTGTCATCAAACATACAGATTTTCACGTGGGAAAAAGCTAGTGCAATAACATTTTTAAATGTTTGTTCCAGTGAAGAACAACTAATGTTCGATGCAAGCACAGAACCACTACTCCAGAAGTTTCTGCAGAACAACCCACAGACTGGGAACCTTGGCTCCTTGGTGCAGGTTTTCGTGACGCGAGCTACCGAGCTACTGGCCGCGCCCAACAGTGATAAGTAAGTTTGATTTTCGAGGATGTTTCCGTTGGTAAAAAACTTTTTAACTCCGTCAAAAATGACAGATGAGACGTGCCAAAGCTCGAAAATACGGGCTCTTTGACGTCACTACGTTGCAAAAAGTGTAGCACGGCGTGACGTCACGCGGAACTTCAACTTACGAACCATAACTTCGATTACTTGCTATATTTTTTTCAATCTTGTTTGACGATCATTTCAGATAGTATGCGAAAAATAAATGTCAATGGAACCAATTCTTCTGAAGCCCAATGGGACTACTAATTAAGAGCCCTGGAGCCACCCATAGGTGTGCTCCAGGGCTCTATATTAGGACTTGGTTATTTTTTAATCTATGTAAATGTAAATCTACCTTACTTTGTCGAAGATCTTTGTGACATGTAGGGACTATATCTAGGTAGTAAGTTTACCTTACATAGTGACATAGCCCAACGGATTAGCAAGCTGAAGTGGCAATGGGCAGGGCACATAGTACGCAGAACTGACTTGATTTTGATTTTGAACTGACGGCCGATGGAGCAGCAAGGTTCTGGAGTGGAGGCCACGTACCGGAAAACGCAGCGTGGGTGGGACGTCCACCCACAAGATGGACCGACGATATCAGGAAGGCGCTGGACGCAGGCTACCAATAGATCCACATGGAAAACATTGGAGGAGGCCTATGTTCAGCAGTGGACGTCTTGTGGTAGAATGATGATGATGAAGTTTACCTTCACACGTGAACTTCGAAAATATTTTGCCGGCGAACTCTGTTCCGCCTTAAAGGACCGTTTAGACCTACCCTGGACTACGACAAACATTTTAAAACCAAAATCAGCTCAATCGGCCCAGCCGTTCTCGAGTTTTAATCAGACTAACGAACATCAATTCATTTTTATTTATACAGGGTGTTAGGTAAATGGGTATATGAGCCGACACTAGTCCATGTTAACATGGTCATATAAATGGTATGGTGAAGTCAGAAAATTGATATCTTCATTTTAATTATTTTAATTTTCATACAAATCGGATTTTATAAAATTTATTTTGTATGAAAATTAAAAAAAATAAAATCATGATATCAAATTTCTGACTTCACCATACCATTTATATGCCTATGTTAACATGGGCTAGTGTCGGCTCATATACCCATTTACCTAACACCCTGTATAGATAAAGTTTTTGACTTCACTGGGAATCGAATCCGGGACCTAACCATTAGATCAGAGACAGAGGTGGGTTTAACATAGCCGTTGTTTTCTTTCCAGTGTTATGCTGGCGTGGCAGACCTTCAACGCTTTGTTCGTCACGCGGGCGGTCACCAAGTATCTGGTCGAGATGGTGCCGGAATATGAGCTATGTCGGCATTTGGACGAGCCACCTAAAATGAGGAATACTGGTTTGGACACGGTGAGTTATGAACTTTTTTAACAAAATAATTAAAACCGACTCCAAAACTCCAAAAAAGTAGAAAATAATTACATTATTTATTTATTAGGACAAATGTATACCATGATTGATATTCTCGGAGTCGGTGCCAGCCTGCTCAGAGCCAAGCTCAAGAAATGTTCTAAATTTACCGGCACCGAATCGGAATCGGTCCACAATTGACGGAGTAATCGGTGAACATACATACATAGAAAAAAAATACACACAGTCGAACATATAACCTCCTCCTTTTTTGAAGTCGGTTAAAAAGTATTTTTTTCTTTTTTCTTAAAGAAAAGAAAGAATATTAGTAATTAATGTGTATTGCACAAATTACTTATAGTCCCGTTAGCCTCTCGTACTAAGCTAAATATGCTTCACGAGCGAGCTCACCACAATATTCACAAACATTACCATGAAGTCTCACAGTGCGCGTGGACGCACAGGGTCACACACGGACCGCTGTTCAACGCTGTGCGTTAAATTTGCTGCTTAACTTATGCAAGCATCGCTTGTAAATACGCTTTTTCTTAGAAGAATGAAATAATACGTCTAACTCAGTCACTGCCTGAGGTATGGAAGCGGCACGGGATTGACATTGACATATTATGACGTGTCAGAGCATACAAATCTGTAATATCGCTGACATTTGACGTCTCAAATACTCCCCTCCCGTGCCGCTCCCATACCTCAGGCACTGACTCAGTTATGCGCTAAAGTCCGGTCGCCGAGCACGTAGAATTTCGTCCAATGACTCCAAGCTCGATCTACCCATCCTTATCGCTCGCGCGTAATTATATTGCTGTCGCGACTGCGACGGGCGCCCGCAGTGAGTGTGCGAGCGCGACAGCAACATAATTACGCGCGAGCGATAAGGATGTGTAGCTTGGGGTCATTGGACGAAATTCTACGTGCTCGACGACCGGACTATAGATCTATAAATCAATCTACCTCCCTTCCAGCCGCCCAAATCGGAGCAATCCCCAGAGGTGCAGACGTCCCCTAAAATGAACGGCAGCGAGAGCAAAGTGGAGGTGCTTATAGACGCGCTCATTGGACTGATCATTGATGTTCCTGTCACGTGAGTATATGACGTTTTATCATCATTGTGAGCCCCCCTAAACAATGGACGTGTTAACACCACCAATCAATTGACGTACTTTTTAAAACTGTCAAAACGAAAATCTCCCATAGATTTTGTATGGCACTACAAGCAAGTGAAGTCACTATTTTGTCAACTCAAACAAACTTTTTTCAATTACGTAATTTAAAATTAATTAAGTTTTTAAGACCAGAATGAAGTGTCTTTTTAGATAAGTTGTGATTTCGAATTAATGGGGAATGATGTCAAATTGTCTATTTTGATCGCACTGAGGCTTGAGTGTGAGTTTCAAACGTTCTCACTAGTGAGCGCGTTAAAAATATATGAAAATTTTAGTTCTTGAAAGTTTCCGCTAGGGGCGCTGTACAATCCGTCATACATTTAATGTAATTTTTTTACGCGCTCACTATAGTCTATCCAAAATAGCTTGATTAGAATGACAGCTGTCAAACGAATGTGACTAGTGCTGGGTATGTTTCGTACGGTTCACATAGATGTATCGATAAGTTTTCGAAAAAAATGATATAAATAAATGCACCCAATTTTTCTTCATATCTTTATTCATAAAAATGACAATTATAATTTAAATTTAAAGACAGTAAAATTTTAAATTCATGTCAAGGGTGTACAACCTAAGTCGTAGTCATTATCATCAGTGTTCTTCAGTGGTTTTTTCCTCTCGCTAGAGGGCGGTGGGCATCTCTTCTAGAGCAACGGTGCTATGAATACCCAAAAAATTACCGGTGATTAATTTCCGATGTTTGATTATTTAAGAATGAAATGTTTTTTGGTTTTTAATAGTGAACATTTAGAAAAACGTATAACTTGACTTAAATATGTTAAAAAATTAGTTAGAAAAAAATTTAGTTAAATATGTTAAAAAAATAGTTTTAATTTAATATGACATTTGTCGATATGTCCCATCACTAACATTTTTGTAACTCGAGATAACCTTGTAGAGACGTCGTTAATACTCTAGCTTGATTTTTATAATTTCGAATTACTACTTATTGAAAGCACTGTCGTCGAAAATATTGTTTGTAGGTCAGACGTGAATTATTTCTTGTCCGCCAATATTTAGCTCTCATTGATCGCTACTACAAAGTTATGTCGTTACTTTTGATGGCAGCTGTCATTCTAATCAAGCTATATTGGATAGACTATAGTGACGACGTTTGATGTAAACTCACACTAAGCCCTCTGAAAATCGAATCCGGTCACGTAGTGAAGGGAAGAGTCCCTTCGTCCCTACGTGCTTTTTTTGTATAGAGATACAAAAAAAGCCAGAGAAAAGGTTTTTCAAAATGACAACTGTCATGTTTTCCCACTTGTCTAGGGGGCAGGTTATTTAGCCGAAGTTGGAAGTCGAACCTTAACTTAGAACTCCTATGTTCTTCTGATTATTTTCGTTGCGAGTCCAATGACAGTTTAACTTTCCCCCGGTACAAACTTGACCTTCACTGGTTGCGTTGTTTGCGGTCAAGCTGTAGATCCTGGCTACACAGGAGTTGCAGCGGTGGGAACGAGAGATGGGAATATTCTCGTACCTACTACGGGACTATTCCCACCTCTCGTTCCCACCGCTGCAACTTTTTTCGTGGTGTACAGTGAATCGAAGGTGCTCACGCGTGGATGTCCTCATGGATCGGTCCTAGGGACCTATCTTTCGAATTTGGGATTTGATGATTTTCTAGCATTGCCATTACCCGAAGGCTGTTCGTTACCTACTGTACATCACGAAAAATGATCAATGGCGCAATTAAGACAGATTTATCGCTAAGAAGCTATCTCTTCCAAATACCTCGTACAGTACCCGGCAATAAATATTGCACATCGACCTTTGGAAAGAGAATCGGTTAATTGCGGCTTGTAGAGCGTTATTTCTGTCGCACACTATGTATACGATTGACAAAACGTTATTCACTGAAAATATTGTCCGAACCCTTAGTATTTCTCTTAGACAAATACTTTAACACATTGTGAACCACTTTTCTTTCACGACTATAAAAAGATTTTAGCAATTTAATTTACAAAATCAATGGCACACATTTAAAATAAAGTTTGTTCACACTTTGACAAAACGTCATTGTCAGTCATTGTTCAAGTGCGACAGTGATAACGCTCTACGAAACCGAAATTAGCCGATTGTCTCTTTCTAAAGGTCGATGTGCAATATTTATCGCCGGGTATTGTAGTAAGTACTTATAAATACAAATATTACGTTAATTTCGTTCCAGAGACAACACATACTACTTACACTTGGAGTGTATAAACACACTACTAGTGTTGATGTCTGTATACATGTTCGCCGGCGTCCACGGGCAAGCGAGGCTGGTGGAGACCTCTCTTATATTCAGGTGAGTACAACTAATATATCGCACAACTAAATAATGTGTTTTAACACTTCGTTTTATTTATTTATTTTCATGGACAACAGCCTATAGTACAACCGCTTAAATGAGACCTCGCATGCGGAACGTTTTTTTGACGCAACACAAGTTAATCTATGGCGACTGTCGGGATTTGAACCATCGCTCGGCCTTCGGCCTCGCCTTTCTGTCTGTCACTGGGCTCTAGTCCTTTTTTGACGCATTAAAAATAAATCTATGGCAACTCACAGGCTTTAAACTATCGCTCGGCCTTCGGCCTCGCCTTTTTCTGCGTTAGCTAAGCCCCCCTGCATACAATTTCTATGGAGAATTTAGTTCCTTTAGGAAAACGGGTGAACGCTTGGCGGCCATCTTGGATTTCCAAAATTTTGCATTTTTGCCTTAATCTGGACCATTTTCCGCGCCGAACCCCATTTTTACTTTTGTTAGTTAGTTAGTTACACCACTTATAACTCAAGAACGGCTGAACCGATTTAGCTGAAAATTGTCAGGGAGGTAGTTTAAAGCCAGGAGAAGGACATATACTTTTTATCCCGGTCGAAATAAAAAAAAAGTCTGCTTATTTATTGCCATTAAGGCGGAACAAAGTTCGCCGGGCCAGCTAGTAAATAAATAAAATAAAGTTAAAAATATGGTGGGAAACATATTCCCACTGACGTATAAAGGGTTAACTAGCTATACCTCTGTAATTAATAAAGCCTTTTGTCCTCAGAACGCTCTTCCAAGGCAGATACGGTATGCACGCGCCTCTGCTAGTCAAGACCTTGCTTGGAAACTTAGCCGCCATGTTGCCCGCGCCACCCGCTATGTTTGGAACCGGAGCCAATGGCGGCAGTGTGTTGATTAATATAGCCTGTAAGTAGCCAAAAAAAAAACTTCTACATTTACTAAAAAAAAATATGTCAAAAAAATATATTTATTTTAGATTTTTTTGGAAAAAAATAAAAATACATAAAATGTAAAAAGGTTTTAGTGAAAAATATTAAAAAGAAAAGGTTTGGTGAAAAATCTTGTCAAAAAAATTACATTTTTTTTTTCAAAAACAACGCTTGCCTGTTACGAAACTCATTTGAAACAGATTTTTAAGCTGGTTTTTTATTCAAAAACTTCGAAATTTCTTTTGGATACAAAATTAAAAAAATAGTAAGACTTAAAAAGCCAGCGGTATGCTTGCGCCTCTGCTAGTCAAGACCTTGCTTGGAAACTTAGCCGCCATGTTGCCCGCGCCGCCCGCTATGTTCGGAACCGGAGCCAATGGGGGCAGCGTACTGATTAATATAGCCTGTAAGTAGCCAAAAAAAAAACTTCTACATTTACTAAAAAAAAATATGTCAAAAAAATATATTTTTTTTAGATTTTTTTGGAAAAAATTAAAAATACAAAAAATGTAAAAAGGTTTTAGTGAAAAATATTAAAAAGAAAAGGTTTGGTGAAAAATCTTGTCAAAAAAAAAATTCATCTTTTTTTTTCAAAAACAACGCTTGCGTGTTACGAAACTCATTTGAAACAGATTTTTAAGCTGGTTTTTTATTCAAAAACTTCGAAATTTCTTTTGGATACAAAATTTAAAAAATAGTAAGACTTAAAAAGCCAGCGCGGTATGCTTGCGCCTCTGCTAGTCAAGACCTTGCTTGGAAACTTAACAGCCATGCTGCCCAGCATTTTTTAAATATAAAAAATGATTTTGTTTTCCAAAAAAAATTATTATATCTCAAAAAACTGTAAAAAAAGTTTTAGTGAACAATATTCTCAAGAAAAATATTAAACGGGTTTGCTGAAAAATATTGTCAAAAAACATTTTTTTTTTAATGACACGCGTTACGAAACTTATTTGAAACATTTCTTGAACTATTTTGCCTGAGGTGGGAATCGAACTCACGATCATTCGCTTGCCGGGCGACTGCTCTTCCATCTGAATTAATTTTTTTCTTCAAGTTTATTACAGCTATTTTCTCAATGACTTAGGCTGACTTGCACCATCTTACTTTAACCGTAACTATTACCATGATTAGCATTCCAACCTTTACTAGTACTATTGGTAATAATTTAAGGGAAACCTGTTATTGGCCATATTGTATGTTAAATTTATGTATGGTAAAATTGTATAAATACGCTGTTGGTTTTCTCAATAAAAAAAAAAATAAAAATAAAAAAAAAAAATGATAGGTGTTTTTTTTATATGGACTTTGACAGATTTTTGACGTGTTATAGTTGAAGTAAGGTTGAAGTGTTGAAACCCAGTCTTAATTATCAAAAATTGCATTTATGTGGATCATTCACGTAGTATTTGAGATAATTATAATTAACAATAACATTGTAGGCTTATGAAACATCCTACAGAGAATAGGTTACAATGATAATTAAAATGTACTATAAATTGGTATTTCGACACTCAATTTCAATATCAACTTAATGGCTATATTATGAACTGGTACTTATTCCTTTGTCCCCAGCCGGCCTATGGAACATGCTGACCTTCAACACGACCACCCGTCAAACCATCTACTCCCACCCGCCGCTAGACCGCAGCTCGCTCAGCGGCCGGCTCAAGCAGCAGCACCCGCTCAGCAACCAGTCGTGTCTGCTGCTGTTGGCGCTGGCCAACCACTGCATCGCCGACGCCAACCTGTACCGCGCCGCGCTACTGAGCAGCGCGCCCGCGCCGCCGGGTGAGGGTGAGACGACCGTCACGCGACAACCGCACAAGCTGGTGACGCGCGACAACCGCACAAGCTGAGTGTGACGCGTGACCTTAGTCGCTGGTGACGCGTGACCTTAGTCGCTGGTGACGCGTGACCTTAGTCGCTGGGTCGCGTGACCTTAGTCACTTCGCGTGGCAGAGCATCTACTCCCACCCGCCGTTAGACCGCAGCTCGCTCAGCGGCCGGCTCAAGCAGCAGCACCCGCTCAGCAACCAGTCGTGTCTGCTGCTGTTGGCGCTGGCCAACCACTGCATCGCCGACGCCAACCTGTACCGCGCCGCGCTACTGAGCAGCGCGCCCGCGCCGCCGGGTGAGGGTGAGACGACCGTCACGCGACAACCGCACAAGCTGGTGACGCGCGACAACCGCACAAGCTGAGTGTGACGCGTGACCTTAGTCGCTGGTGACGCGTGACCTTAGTCGCTGGTGACGCGTGACCTTAGTCGCTGTGTCGCGTGACCTTAGTCACTTCGCGTGGCAGAGCATCTACTCCCACCCGCCGTTAGACCGCAGCTCGCTCAGCGGCCGGCTCAAGCAGCAGCACCCGCTCAGCAACCAGTCGTGTCTGCTGCTGTTGGCGCTGGCCAACCACTGCATCGCCGACGCCAACCTGTACCGCGCCGCGCTACTGAGCAGCGCGCCCGCGCCGCCGGGTGAGACGACCGTCACGCGACTAGCGCCGTGTGTGCTAGTAACCTCGCGTGGCGCGTGACATGTCTAGTCGCTGGTGACGCGCGACAACCGCACAAGCTGGTGACGCGCGACAACCGCACAAGCTGAGTGTGACGCGTGACCTTAGTCGCTGGTGACGCGTGACCTTAGTCGCTGGTGACGCGTGACCTTAGTCGCTGAGTGTGACGCGTGACCTTAGTCGCTGGTGACGCGTGACCTTAGTCGCTGAGTGTGACGCGTGACCTTAGTCGCTGAGTGTGACGCGTGACCTTGGTCGCTGAGTGTGACGCGTGACCTTAGTCGCTGAGTGTGACGCGTGACCTTAGTCGCTGAGTGTGACGCGTGACCTTAGTCGCTGAGTGTGACGCGTGACCTTAGTCACTTCGCGTGACAATCTTAGTCACTTCGCGTGGCGCCCTTAGTCACTTCGCGTGGCGACCCTAATCACTTCGCGTGGCGACCCGTCACTTGGCGTAGCGACCCTAGTCATTTCGCGTGGCGACCCATCACTTGGCGTGGCAACTCTAGTTACTTCACGTGGCGACCCTAGTCACTTCGCGTGGCGACCCTCGTATCTTCTATCTTATGTTACATTTCACCATCCCTGGCCCGCGTTATAACACAATCTTTATTGTGAATATTTTGTCTAATAGTATACTTAGAAGTATTCGTTTTAAAATAATTTAAAACAAATTTTGTATTTTTAAAGTCATTTCATCAAACTAATGCATATTGTTTGTTACAGACACAGCACAGACCCCACAGAAGGACTCAAACGGGCCCGACGTCACGCCGCCTCGAATAGACATGGCTGCTGTAAGTATAATAATAAAGTTTATTTCTAAATTACATAACCGTCCTTCACAAAGAACTAACTTCAGAAAGATTCAAGAGCTAGGATAAGATATTATCTAAAAATGCGATGATGCTGTTTAGTTCTTACCATTTTTTTTGTGCGTAGCGTTCCATAGAAAATGTACTTTGTAGCAGCAGTTTCAAAATTACATGCTCATCATTTGGAATTTATTGGTTTTTTGTCATAGACCGTGATTTAGTATTGGCTTTGCCAAAACAACGATAGATGTCGTATTTTGAGAAGTGACTTTTCACTTGGTATCAATAGGGAAAAGGTTAAAAAAAATCAAAGATAGCAGCATTTGAAAGCTAAGAAAAATAAATAAGCTTAAATTAAATCACTTGTCCACAGCTCCACAAAGCTCTCTGTGCAACTGCGGGTTGCGAGCATTCAACATTGCTACTGTACGTTATGCTGCACTCATGTGACGCGTACAAACGATACGTCAGCCAGGTCACGCAGATCGACGAGCTGGTGAGTTTGACACGTGACACGCTTGAAATATGACGCATATGACACGCTTGAAACATGACACATTTGACACGCTTGAAACATAATGACACATTTGACACGCTTGAAACTTAATGAGACATTTGACACTGGCCATAATGGACACACTAACGCTCTTTTGGTGAGGTTGACACTTCACTTTTTTTTTCTTAAAACCTAACGTGTGGGGTATCAAAATAAGAGGCATCAAATTACATATCATATCACCCACAAAAGAACTAGTCATTGATGCCTCCGACTGCATTTGTTAACACTAAGGCCCAGAACAGACGGTGAAACGCAACTGCAACGAACTGCAACTGCTAGTTACTTTTGAGTTGCATCTAAGCTTCTGCCATAGCGTCCGTTGAGAGACCACACATGACGCGACCAGTTTGAAACTTTCAGTTTCAATTTCATTCATCAGAATCATCAGAAAGTTGCAGTTTCGTTGCAGTTGCGTTTCACCGTCTGTGCTGGGCCTAAGTGGTCTAGTTTTTATCTTTTTAGTTCATTTTTACGCAGTTGGGTTTTTTGTTTTTTCAATAATTATTTTATTTTATTCTTTCTCTTTATCCGTCCGCAGATAATTCCAATCCTGCAAGTGCTATACAACGCGCCTGAAAGCAGTTCCCACCACATATACATGTCGCTGATTGTGCTACTCATACTAACTGAGGATGACGCGTTGATCAAGAATGTACATTTGATTGTAAGTATTATTGCAGAAAGATTTATTATTTAATCAATTGTATAGATCGTTTCATCCACGAAGACGCGCCCCACCATTCTTCCGTTAATGTTTGAGTGTTATCGGTACACGCTAAATTATCCATGAGTGCACACTACAATAATGACGCTCGGATTGCTCGGATCTAACTCCCCGCACCCCGCGCGACCGAGACCAGAAATAGTTTTTTTTTTAATTAAAAAACACTGTATAGTTTAAATTGAAATGTCATTTTAAACCTCTATGATTCGCATATCGTTCATAATAATGTCTATAACCAAATACAATATTTCTTTCAGATGCTAAAAAACCTGACTTGGTACACCGAGCGGTCAATATCCGAGATATCACTAGGGGGTCTCATGGTGCTCGTCATAGTGAGAGCGTTACAATACAACATGGCGCGAGTCAGAGACAAATACCTGCACACAAACTGTCTAGCTGCCATAGCGAATATGAGCTGTAAGTATTATTTATAAACGATGTTAAATCTTACCCACTGTTCTGTACCTCTAGCATGAACAACTTTCGTCTTCGAATCGTTTGCGTATTCGACAATATTCGATACTCAACCTTCGAATTAACCGATAACGTGTCAATTTTGATTCTCAAAATAAGTTTCGTGCAACCATTTCTCATACTAAGTTCACTTTACGACACGTTCACAATGGCGCTGTTGTAGTTTTCGTACTAAATCTTTTAATGGTGGTTCGAATACGCAAATGATTCGAACTCTAAAGTTTTTCGTGCTAGCCGTACTGGTGGACAGAATGGGACGTCATAGGCAGCACATCGAGTTGAGTCGCGTCGCATCGCATCGCATGGCGTTGCAGACTTGCTGCGTTAGGACAATTTATTAAATACACCGCCAGCGCTCAAACATGTCTCAAAAAATCATACGGACGAATGAGGGTTTCTTGTCTTAGTCACAAGCAAGTGACAGGTCCTTTCTTTGTATTGAAGGCAACTGGTGGGTGCAATTAAGGAAACTACCTTTTTTATATCGGTTAAAATTAAAAAGCTGAAAGTTTATCTGCGTGTGTCCCGAAAATAGGTAAGAACGATCAGCGACTGTGTTGTAGTTTTGATTGTGGTTACTTTGGCAGGTTTCTAAATAACTATAAGGAATAGGGAATTTGTTTGACTTTTGAAAATTTCCATACTTTATTTGAATTATAATATGTTTTATTTCAGGTGAATTCAGAAATCTACACCCATACGTTGCACAGAGGCTAATATCATTGTTCGAGACGTTAACAAAGCGGAGAGCGAGGCTATGTAGTGAAATAGAAGGTAACTTTCATATTTATCTCAACAAGAAGTTATTTTTTATGTGGGTGAAATATTTTGCTAAAAAAATTCGACCGTTTTGGTAGAACTTTAATTCTATTCGAACGGTAATTTTGAGTTTTTGTGTTGTGAAACAGTCGATTTTTCAAGTAAAAAAACCATGATTATTGTATACATACAAGCTTTTGACCCCGGCTTTGCTACGAATTAGTCTGCCACAGAAAGTATTCTTCTCAAAACCGGGACAAAACGGTCTTATATTTCTCCTTGGGTCTCGAACTATCTGTATTCTGTATACCTAATTTCATCTAAATTGGTTCAGTATTTTTACTATAAAAGTGTGACAAATATCCATTAATCCTTACAAACTTTCACTTTTAGGAGGCGATATAAATAATTTAGAGTTACCACATCACGCAGAAGAAAAGACAGAAGAAGTTGTAAGTACTTTTTGTGTATTTTTACCATTTTTTATACAACTGAAACAAAGACTAAGGGCACGTTCCCAACGCAATCCGGTTTTGCTGGATACAGTAATGCAGTATACACATGTGCTAGTGGCGATTTTGCATGATCTGTTTATTAAATGAAACATCATCTGTTTAAATCAATTTAGCATGTTAATGAATATGTTGCGAGTGGGTTGACTAAAATTACTATTAGTAAACTAGCTTTTTCCCGCGGCTTCACCCGCGTAAAATTTAGTTTGTCACAGATCGTCATAAATTAAAGCCTATATGTTAGTCTGGATTATAAACAATAATACTGTTAATTTTCATCAAAATCTTTCGCAATTATAATATTAGTAGGATAGGGATTGAAAATGTATTATTCCAACTATCTAGCATAAACGGGTCTTTATTCGGGATATGTTGCCGTTGTCATGGTTTCATAAATCTTAATTGCACCACCTAACTTTAACGGTAACTGCAACGGTAACCGGTGTTTTTTGTATGGATTTTGACAATTTTTTTGACGTTTTTCACAATTAAAGTAAGATGGTGCAACCCAGCCGAAATGTGATGAAAATTTGGTTTCGTTCGTTCTGATACGTGAGAACACAGCATACAATTATGAATCCGGCTTTATCTAAATTATAATTTCAGATGGACCACATAAACGTGCTAGACGAAGTACTAAGGATGCTGTTGGAGATCATCAACTCGTGCCTTACGCATCAACTGAGCAACAACTTGAACGTTGTTTACGCGTTGTTACACAAAAAACAACTGTTCGAACAACACAGGCACCATAATATCACGCAGAATATTGAAATGGTAAGTTAAGTGCAGAATGTGCTGTTCTTTGATATTGAAAAAAGGGTCTTTGTTTATGCCTAGTTTATAATCTATCTATGTAAATAAAAATGAATTGATGTTTGTCAGTCTGATTAAAACTTGAGAACGGCTGGGCCGATTGAGCTGATTTTGGTGTTAAAATGTTTGTCGTAGACCAGGGTAGGTCTAAATGGTGAGCAAATAAGGAAAGATTTGCTTATTTATTGCCTTTAAGGCGGAACAGAGTTCGCCGGGTCAGCTAGTTTTAACATAAATATGTTGGTATTCTTCTAACAAGTACCAAAATACTTATTGCCATTACAGTTTAGTGCAAAAAAATTTGAACTTTTAAAAAAGTTGTTAAATAATAATTGTCATGCATGACAATTATTATTATTTAGCCAAATGCAATCTTCCTTAATGTACAAAGTGTTGTGTTATCCGCCAGTTGCTATTAATATTATAGATAGAGGGTCCTGCTCCTGCAATGTAGAATAATTTGACCTGATTATGATGATGTTTTACGGCTATTATTACCTCTCGGGTCGGAGAACTTACTTACGGAAGACCAGAGTCGTAGTGTCCCTTACTTTTTTTTTTTTTTTTTTTTCCAAAACGAGGAAGTTCTTGGCCTGTATCTCACCTGATGGTAAGTGATGATCAGGCCGAAGGTGGAAGCGAGCTTCACCCGGAATCCTCAACCACGGAGGAACTGGCTATCTTACCTCTAACTGCCGGAACACAACAATGCTGTTAACATTGTTGTTATGGCGACAGACTTAGGTAAGATGGTGGTAGCTAGCCAGGCGGACTTAGAACAAGCCCTACCACCAACCAAACCGAACAGAAAAATCTGCCCCCACTGGGAATCGAACCCGGGANGGTAAGGGATGCTGAATGGATACGTTTCGGCGACACGCACATTATTTTGTTTAGTTTTAGTTTTTCTTGATGTTGGTTTGTGTTGCTGAGTAAACCATTTCATTTCATTGCATATAATATGGTAGTCGTAATGTGATGTCATTTGTAGTGTTTACGAGTGTACCCTCTGTACCACACCTATTCTTTGCTCACAGGTGATACTTTTCGACTTTAATGCCCATTTTCACCTTCAATCCCTAATTTTTAAGATCCCTATGAAAACAAAATTTCTGACATGTAAGCTGTTATGTGTTACCATAGGGGTCACTAAAGCTGTCAAACTCCATACATAAAGCACCGGTTATCGTCACAGTTACTGGCAAAGTTAGGTGGTTCAACTCAGCCTTAAAAATTAGGGATTGAGGGTGAAAACGGGCATCGTCTCCGGTTTTTTTACCTAAATAAGTTAGTCGTAAAAAGATGTCATTTGTTATTATTAAATACCGTATTTATAAAGGAACATACTCTCTGTACGATACCTATTCTTTGCCCACAGGTGATAGGTTACTTCTCGACGCGTCTGCAGAGGGTGCAGGAGGGCGCGGGGGGCGACTTGGGGGTCACCGAGGTGCTGGCCTGCATCAAGAAGGGCGCCGAGCAGTGGTCCAGCGACAGGCTCAAGGTACAGTACAATAATATCTGTCTAATAGTAACAGCACAGAATAATAATAAGTACCACGTACAGAAGTTTTACTTCGCGAAGGTATTTAAAAAAATGTATGCTCAATATTTTAAACTATTATGTTGCATTTTTACTATAAAATTATCACTTCACGGGATTATTTACCCTCCCGACGTTTCGGCTCGGTTGCACGAGTCATGGTCGCGGGCAGACTGAAGAGATGCGGCGTCGTCTGCTCCGGCGCGATGAGTTTTCTTCACCCACCCGCATTTGCACAATATTTATACCTCTACAGACGCCGGGTGTCTATAAGATCGATTGCAGCTGTGGTAGTTCTTATATAGGACAAACTTAGGATACTTGTCGATGCAAAGGGGTTACAGAGGTGTTGGCTTGCATCAAGGAAGGATCAATAGAAACAGCAATGGTTTCTACAATGGTGTGATAGGCTACTTCTCGACGCGTCTGCAGAGGGTGCAGGAGGGCGCGGGGGGCGACTTGGGGGTCACCGAGGTGCTGGCCTGCATCAAGAAGGGCGCCGAGCAGTGGTCCAGCGACAGGCTCAAGGTACAGTGTAAACTGACCATTTTTCAACGGTATAGAGCAGTCTTTCCCAAAGTGGGTGATAACACCCCCTGCTGCTGCTGGCTTAAAGGGGGGCGGTAAGAGACCCAGAAAAAAAATCGGGACGTTGTGTAGAGGCTTGGGAGGCGTCATCTACTAGGAGGACTCTTAGACACCGACTGAGCTCGACTCTTGACTACAAAAATGGGGGGCGCTAAAAATAATTTATTCTCAAAGTGGGCAGTAGACTAAAATAAGTTTGGGAACCACTGCTCTAAAGCATCAATATGCGATCATCAGTCCTCCCCGACTTGTCCTCACTACCTAGCTTTTAAATTCTTGAAATCAAAGTATCCTATTTTTCATTTCCAGAAATTCCCCGACCTAAAGTTCAGGTACGTGGAAGAAGAAAGACCAGAAGAGTTCTTCACTCCATACGTATGGGGGCTCATCACCAGCTGCGGAGGCGTGTACTGGGCAAGCGAATGCGGCGCGCGCGCTGTCACCGATCTACTAGCTTGCTGATACACGATATTCGACCTTATACATAGAGTGCTATGCTCCCCTTTCTGTTGACAGACCAATTCAATATTATTTCCTCTTAAAATGAGACTGTCAAATGGGGAATAAGGTTCATTTTACATAAGCGCGGTATAATCTAAGTGACTGAGAGCGCGCGCGCGCAGTTAGTGATTTATTGGCGTGCTGATACACGATATTCGACCTTATACATAGTGTTATGCTCCCCTTTCTGTTGACAGACCAATTTGCCCTTCAACTGACACTATTAAGCCAATTTGAAGCGTATGTTAATGGAATAAGGTTGATTTTATATCAGAGTGGTATAAACCAAGTGACTGAGTGCGGCGCGCGCGCATTCACGGACCTACTAACGTGCTGATATAAGATATTGAACCTTAAAGACATTCTGTTTTCCTTTCTGTTTTTTTTTTTTTTAATCTTTTTATTTGATAAAGGACTTTTATCTTACAAAGACATGCCAGTCCTATTGTACCTATCTACATTATTATTCTGTGTTTTTAATATTATTACAATGTTATTGTTAGGGTCTACGACTGATTACCATACCATTCCTTTCTGTTATAGTATCAAGTTAATTCGAACCGTAGCTTAATGCAATAAGATGCATTTTACACTGGCATCTAAGTTACGGATAACGGATCTCTTGACGCACTAATGTTCTAGACTATCAAGCTAATTTGTCCCGTATTTCAATGAGATAAGATTCCCCTTCCTCGGATTAAGACACTCCAAAGCTATATGCGCAAGAGTAGATTATAGTATCAAGCTAATTTGTTCCTTATGTCAATGAATTAAGATGGATTTTATACTGGCATCTAAGTGAAATTTAGTGCGGCGCGCGCGCAGTCATGGATCTCTTGACGCACTGACGTTCTAGACACTATCAAGCTAAATTTACCCTTATGTCAACGGAATAATGTTCCCATTCCGTGAACTGGACACTCGAAAGCTGTATGCGTATGAGCAGATTATTGTGTCAAGCGAATTTAGTCATTATTTCAATGGTATTAAGACGCATATTACATCGACTCTGAGAATGATGCACCACAGACATTATTGACACTGCCCCCTCCGCTTCTTCTGTCAAATATAGACAATTATTAAACTGTTAAGTAATATAAGTTTGTTTTGTTTTATTAAAACAACGACCATACAAATTATTTTATATTTCCATACATCATAATGTAGTGAAATTAGTTTTAAGGTTTTATTTTTCATACATTTTATTTATCTGTAATTTAATGTTATCACAATATTGTTTGCATTTACATTCGTAAAGGTTAATTAAAGAAATACCAAGCCAATTTCAGTTTTTTTCAATATATCTATGGTTTAACCGAGATATCCTATTTCTACATAAAGTTAATGATAAAACGCTAATAAATAAATAAACATCCTTGGACATTTTACATTTCGCCATCTAGTCCCAAAATAAGCAAAGCTTGTACTATGGTTACCATCAAATGGATATAAAAATACAAATAAATGTGTTTATGCATACAAATGTAATAGACAAAAATGTATTTCAAACATTTTACTCGGAAGATTAAATTTTTATTTCACACCTAAGCACCAGCCGATATGATGGTGTTGGGCACGCATAATATTCATGATTATATCATCCAGCTACATGACTTCCACTGCTACTCATAGACCACCTCCAATGATTTCATATTAGGCCGGTTGGAAGCGACCTGCATCCAGCGCCTTCCTGAAATCTTTTATAATAATATGGTCTGTCCTTGGGGGTGGACCTCCCATATTATCGTATCGTAAATTATCGTTGTACTATTATTGCTAATTTATTTTATTGTATTTATAAACGAGATGAAAAATAAAACATCTAAAATTAGTTCACCCTACCATTACATTATAATCGTTATCTATCATGGGAATAGACACATGCCACAGTAGATCTGTGCACATGCTATAAGTGGTGATCTCAAGTAGGCTGCTTTCTGGTTAAAGTTTTACTATTAGTATTATTTCAACTTAGATTAATAAAAACTTCCAGTGTTGACCAAACATATGTATATACCTACTAATATTTATATCTATGTAATATTTATCATCAATAAATCGGTAGGTCGAATGAATTCTGTTTTATTTTGTGATAACCTACCCTCCAACTAGTCTCGAAAAAAATTATACACCGTGTTACTTTGCATTCTTGCCATATTCACAGAAGATAAAAGTAGGGACCAATACCTGTTATTTAAGATAAACAAGAGACTCCCGTAAAGAAAGTACACTGAGTTTTTAGTAAATTTGGTTTTGCAGTACAAATTGGAATAAACCAATTTTGTTTCGCACTTTCTACAGGTGCAAGTGGAATAAACCTAGTGGGCGTGGCCTAGTTCTTATTAATCTGTGATGTTTTATGGCTCTGGGTACCAGCCTTTTTATCCAGTCATAATAATTATTTTAAAATACTCTTCAGTTGATTTTAGATTTTCCTTTCTACTCTCAGTTTCTACTTTACGGGCTTAGGACCGTCAAAAATACGTAATAATTATTAGGCTTTCAATTAATTTACAACAATTGTTCCCTATTTTTACAAATTAATAAACTAAGTATGAAATGAAATCACCTTATTCACAATTAATTATTTATTCATGAGTTCCAAAGTTTACGTACTGCGAAGCAAGTGTTCAAAGTGTCCTCCGTTCTGATGAAGGCACAGTCTAGCACGGCGAAGCGTAGGTATTTCGCTTTAGTTTTCGCAACACATAAACGTTTTGTCTCACAGTTTCGCTGAAGCAATCCTTTCACGTAACACGTTTACACTTTTTATCTCTTCTGCGCATACCAGGTCGTTTCAAGTCACTCCAAAAATAATAGTCCATTGAACGAAACGAAAAAACTTAGAATGTAACGCACTGCACCACTACACTCGGCCATTTCGTCCCAAGAGGCCATTGAGGCAGGACAGCACGTCGTTGATCAGTTTCGCGACAAATCGCATAAATAGGTCCCTCCTTGGGTTTTTGTTTACTAAAAAGTCAATTTCTTTGGACGGTTTTTTGCAACTAAACAATGGATTAATTTTATTGTTTATTTACACAAATGTAGTGTCTGTAGGGGTAAACCCATGATTTAAATAGTAAATGTATAGGGTAAATAGGTTTTTGTCTGTGGTGTCTTTTAGGCATAAATCTAATTTCTTTGGTCCTAATTTCCTTGTTTTCCGTGGCATAAAATGACCTAGGAAATTATAAAAGACCATTAATAATTCGGCGTCAAGTAAAATTTTGAGTATTTCTTTATTGGAATAAGTTTAAAATTTAAATTTTAAGAAATAGGTATCAGAATAGATATAGAAAAACTTGTTTTTAACTTTTAACTCAATCTACTGCATTTATCTTCCTTAGTTGTGTAAAAAGGTCGTAATGATATAATATTCATTGGCATGTTTGCTTGCGAAAGTACACAAAAATAGGTCGAACAAAAAAAAAGCAAACCACAGAAGAAAACTTAGAGAAAAAAATATTTATAATAATTTCCTTGGCTACCAAAAATTTATGACCTCATAACTTTGTTTCTAAAACGAATTATGACACCCCTTCTAGATATATTAGCTTAGTTTTTACTACTTAATGCAATGGGAAACTAAAAATAGTTAAAAACAGAAATAAAATTCGTGCCAAGGAAATTAGACAAAATTGACCATTTTTGGCGAAATACCCTTTAAAGACAATAGATTGCAAAAGATATTTAAAAATACAATAAAAAGTAAAAAAGTCTCCATCGCCATCGCTAACATAAGTGATGTGCATGCGTTACGATAGTTAGTGATGTGTTTAACAGATTGTCGATAAAATAAAATATTTAAAATTAAAAATTTTCGGGCATTATTTTTTAACGGATTTGTGTTCAGTATCAGTAATATAGTTACCTCTGTAAATATGGCAAGAATGCAAAGTAACACCCTGTATAGACTGCTGACGGGCTAGTTACTAAAACAATTGAAAAGTAGGTAAATTAATTATTTTACTCTAGCAGTAGGTATAGTTGAATTTAACTATAATGTATTATACCACCATACCACCTACTTATTTATTTATTTTCATTTATTTATTTACCTACTTAGAAATAGCAAAAGATTCTCAAAGCAAACTTTTGAGGAAGATCATGAAATTAGATTTGTAATTAATTTTACCTCGCTTATGTACCCGGCCATAACTTCTAAAAATCTCATGTAAAAGCGGAAATACATCTACGCTTTGATTTGAAGATTTATACTGTACTAGCTTTCCGCCTGCGGCTTCGCCCGCGTGGAATTTCTCTGTCACAGAAAAACTTTATCACGCGCGTCCCTGTTTCAAAAACCGGGATTAAAAACTATCCTATGTCCTTTCCCGGGACTCGAACTATCTTTATGCCAAATTTCATCAAAATCGGTTCAGTGGTTTAGGCGTGAAAGAGAGACAGACAGACAGAGTTACTTTCGCATTTATAATATTAGTATAGATAGATTATAATGATTTGAATACATTAAAAAGAGCCATGTTAAAAGAACAATTCAAATTCAAATTATTTATTTTACATTTCAGTTATTATTATATTGTTACGAGAACAACATGTGAGAATGTGATTCAGAATTCAAATTTCCCGCTTTCGTTACCCGCCCTTGGAACCATAGACAATAATTTATATACGTATGAAATTCGGCAAGCAGTGGAGTGGAGATTTGGATTTGGAGAACATTATTTTTTTAAACAAGTTCTACATTCGTTTGTGTGGGCTTTCCAATTTAATATCATTTACAGATGCACTTTCAATATCTTTATGAAACAAAACTGATTTTTATTTCTCCTTATATCGCTGTTGCCATATAAAAAAATCATGAACAATACATTTCCGTTCCTGTCATTTCCTTCCGTTTTTTTCATCAATATTGACAAATGACAATCGAGGAGCTTTTGATAAAATATGCGTAAACAACGGCTTGTTTATTTTTAAGAAAACTACCCGTGTTTTAAAAACGTTCAGTGAAAACTCATAATAAAACTTTGTGTTTTGTGATTAATTAAATACTGTTTACATACAAAAGAGCGCCGCGCCGAAAAAATAAAGGGTGAGTGCCTTTCCTTTTGATGTTCGATTTTCAAATTTAAATATTTGCCTTCTTTCTTTATTTCAAAGTCGCGCAAAATTAAATTATGAACCGTTTGAAATGTTCATAATTAATTTTGCGCATTTTCTGTTCATTTGTTTGCACCTCACTATTTATTTCTTATCTGTTTTTTGACAAAAATTAAAAATGATAACATAAAAAAATACTGAACTTCAAGGGAAATAATTAAATACTAAAATCTTTAGTAAAAATCTACTAATATTTTAATTGGTAAATAAAGAGCAATTTGCTTTTGCCATGGAAACAGGAAGTACCTACCTAATTAGTTCAATTAATTTTATCCGAATCTATACCTTTATTTATTTTTTAATGAATAGCTGATAAGCTATTTTACTGCCAAAGTAACTCATTTTAGAAAAACACCCCATGAGTATTTCTCAAAAAAAATGTACGTAACGAAACGGTAGTAACGAAATAGTAAGGCCATAAGGCTTGTTATACATTAGCGAAATATTGTGAATGCTCTTCATTTATTCAATTCGAAATATTTGTAAGTATGCACCCACATACGGGGTAATATTAAGGGGTTAGAAATAAAATAAGGGAGTAATCATTCATACTATTTTAATAAAATTATTTTTGTTCCATCATGTTTATCCATTTTGAGTCGTTCTCTGTAAGCTTTTTGCCTTTCGGCATTGGTTTTTGGCGGCATTCCTAAAAAAACAAAAGAAGTAATCACATAAAAACGTAATCTAAATGATTTGATTATTTTTTGCTGGTGGCACTTCTGTAAAGCAGATAGTATCCAATCCTTTTGTTATTAACGCTCTATATTTTTCGAAATAAATTAAGTAGTGAATATTACTATGCTTAGTCAGGTAATAACAGTATACACTCAGCACTATGTTGTACTTTTTCGTAACGTAACGAAATTCGTAAAAAACGTTACGAAATATTAGACAAAATGAGATCAGAAACAAGTATTTTTTTGATAAAATTTGTTACAGCAAATATAAAAGCTTACTAAATGTTCGTACCACACGTATTACAAAAAATGGTTAAATGAAGACTTACCGTTCTATATAAAATCGCTGATTTTACTGCCTGTTACGAAAAAGTAATCCCACAAAACACACACGTTTTCACTAATTTTCGCGATAGATGTTATGGCGGAGACGTCAGGCCAACAGCCATTCAGAGTGCAGCTATTGTTGTCCGTGTAAAATAAATACGGAATTGTTCAGAAACCATGGGAAAGTAGAAATAAATCGTAACTAAAGAGTAAATAACGAAATAGTAAATGAGAGCGACTCATTTTGTTTTTTTGCTTTAAATTGCCAATTCATTATGACACCCCATAGAAAATCAATTTGATACAGAAACTGCGATTACTGTAGAACGATAATACAAAGAAATTTACAATAATTTAGTTACGTATCGCATTTTATGAAACAAAAACACATGAAAAAGCTAGGGTGGCAAACAGGTTTTTGTATGAAAGGTAAAAAAGGACTATTTTTAAAATATCTAAATATTTGGTAATAAGTAGGATTATAGCTATAATTCTTCGTTATCTTAAAGATTAATATTCATCCTTCAAAATTGTGTATGTGTTTTTTTTGTGTGATGATTTATAAATATAAAACTTTTGAACTGTTTCAAAGCACACTTTTTTTTTTCAAAATGTACATTTTTTTTGAGAAATACTCCCATAGATTTGATGTCACTTGCCCATTTCCAAGTTTCTAGCAGTTTAGGTGTGCGTTTAATAATTACATTTTAATTAAATCGTTTCATCATAAAAAACATAATATTTATTTACCTAAATTATATAGTTCCTGCCCCATCTAGGGGACATAGGACCATATGTCAAGTAAATTATATTTCTTTTAATTTATAATATTAATCGTAA